AAAAAAATTTAACATTTTCTAATGGTGGTGTGCCTCGTGATTTTTTTCATGAAAAAAGTGTGCCTTTGCACAAAAAAGGTTGAAAAACACTGTGATATAGAACACAATCCATCTTCCCCCTCTTTCTAAAGTTGACCAGGTTTTGGTCAGCTAAAATGCAAGAAATGATTATATTTGATCCTGAAACAATTCTCTACCGCTCCATCCATTTCTTACATTGGTTATCAAATGAATTGACAGTTCTGTCTTACTTATAGTGGTACCCAGAAGTTCGACATCATTGTCCTAACACACCAATCATTTTGGTGGGCACCAAACTGGATCTGAGAGATGACAAGGACACCATCGAGCGGCTACGCGATAAGAAATTAGCTCCCATTACCTATCCCCAAGGTCTGGCCATGGCCAGGGAGATTGGTGAGTCTTAGAAACAGAAACTAGAGCAGGAGTGAGCCATGCAGCCCATTTTTTGCAGCTTACAGAGCTCCCTTCCTGTTAAACATTGACGGCTGGTTGGCTGAAAAATGGCAGTTGGGTTCCCATTCTGTTGCATTAGAGAACACAATTACAGTTCAGTTGATCCAACTTAAACCATGAAGAATCTCTTATCACTCTTTCCTCAAACAGGGAAAGATGGTTATCCTCAATTTTCCTTTCTGTTAGATTAAATAGCATCTTTCCTGAATAGTGGTTATATTGATCCAAAGGAAAGGGCGGAGAGGAAGGGAGGGGAGAGGACAAGAGATTTATTATGTAAACTGGTGCAAGCTTTCAAGCTTCAACCATCTTCCAGTAAGCGGTATGGAAGGAGAAAAAGGGGGTGAGGAAAATAAGAAACATTGGAATCATGAAGTAATGTAGAGGAAAGTCTGTTTCCAGAGATAGGACAACCTGAGAAATTCCAAATTCATCTGTTTCATTTCAGGCCACACTGATTAAGCAATTCTAGAGGTGACCTTGCAGTTTTTAGGGAATAAACCACAAACCATTTCCTATTCTGGAAGAGATATTTCCAGGAACCTGCCGGATCAGCCCCAGCACAGGTGGAGCACTAGGGTCTAGAGCAGGGGTGTGAAACTGGCGGCCCACAGGCCGGATGTGTCACACACAGGCCACACCCACCCCAGCTCCACGAATGGGAAAAACACCACAATATATCACGTGATGGTAACGTGACACCGCAAGTTTAACACCCATGGTGTAGAGAGAATAGAATGTTTAAGAGACCCATTTTGTTCTCCTTGTCATACTTTTTAAAAAGTGAAATAATAAAGCTCCCTAATCTGATGAAGTCTTCAGAAAGAAAGAAGCATGGTTCCTAATTCATTTATGCCCTCTCCCTCCAGGTTCAGTGAAGTACCTAGAATGCTCTGCCCTTACCCAGAGAGGCCTCAAGACTGTCTTTGATGAAGCCATCCGTGCTGTGCTCTGTCCCCCACCTGTGAAGAAGCCTGGCAAGAAATGCACTGTGTTCTAGAGCATTCCTGAGTTCCACGTGTTATGGATGACTCTTCTAGAGTCTGAGGAGGGAGAGAGTTTGTCAGGTGTTCCCACAAGGGGATGGCGGGGGTCCCTCATCATGTGTGAAGTCAGTGTTTTTTAAATGTCTCTTTAATTTAACGTGTTGATGTAAACGGGCCGCATGGGAAAAAAGAGGAGCTCGGTGCTATCCCACCCCCAGGGTGGAGCCATGCAACAAACACACCCTCCATGGCTCTCTGCTAGGACATAATTCATGAATGAAAGGAACAGCCCTTTCTTACTACTTCTCTTGGTGCTAGAGCCATTGTGGTGGGAATATATCATGAACCCCAGGTGCGGCAGGAAAGACAAACGAGACACAGGTTGAAGAACAAGCCATTGGTGCTTTATGAAGTGGGACACTAGCTAAGCCAATAGTCCAGACCACTCTTGTGCTATTCAAATCTACCACTGCCTTTCAGGCCATTAGCCTGTTTGCTGCTCCTAAGTGGTTTGACTAATCATCAAATTCCCCTAAAGAGGGAGGGGAAGAGGGAGGTCTCTTTACCTTGTCCAGCCTCTGCAGAAGAGGGCCACCTGGGAGGAACCTTTCCGTAAGACGTGTGGAAGATGTCAAGCGACTCCTTCCTTTTGACAGGAATGATGGGGGTTGGGTTAGAGAGAGCTTTGAGGGATTTGGAGACGGGTCCAGTTTTTAATCATCGTGTAGTGATGAGCTGAACACCTCTTATTTTATACAATAAACATTTATCCATAAGTAAGTAGTGTTTTAGAGTCATCGGCTGATGGAAGAACAT